TTCCGTTTTATTCCATTATACGGCAAAAATTCCATTTTATTCATTAATTATAAAAATGGAATAATTCCGGGTCTCTGTCGTTCAGCAACCAATCACCTGATCTGTTATGATGCAATGATCTATGTACCATTATGATCATTTCGTATCGGATGTTTTTCATTATTACCCTTCAATTATCAAATTATTAAATTCATATTTAATTATTTAATTAAAAGATATGAAAATTTCCGTTACTTTAAGACGCCTGATAAGCGTTTACATTTAATATTTAAAAAATTTTGTCAAAATTTATATATATATATTATTATAAAATGGAAAACTTCGAAGACGAAATGATTGAACACTCTAACTATGACAACAACGAAGTAATTGAGCAGAAATTTACCGAAGCCATAGAAACTTTGTCGTCTGTTACAGAACAGGCTGAGGGGGTTAGTTACAACAATGATTCAGGGACTAACCAAAATCGACGTGCTTCTATTGCAGTATCACGTTTTAATAGTATGATAGACCCTAATACTTTAGGCTCGTGGATAAGTAATGGCATTGGATATGGTAGTCAGGCGGTTAAGACTAAAAGACGCGCTACTATGATAGATCATAATAGTGTAAAAAGTGGTTTTGTGTCATTACGTGCCCCTGATGGTGTAGACTTATCAATGTTTAATGAAGAAGTTAGTGATGCTGATTTACCTCAGGAATTCGAAAATTTTCTGGTATGTGATATATTTTATTTATGAAATTAAAATTAATTAATTATATTTTTTGAATGATTTTTATTTAAATTTAAATTGAACTTTATAGAATGAAATGAACATACAAGAACCTGCACGAAAAAAAATGTTACAGCTTTCTATCGATCAAAAACGAACAATTATACTTACACATAAACAAGCTCAAGAAATTAAACCGCAAACGCAACCGCAACATCAAAGCGAAACACAAGAACAGCAGCAGCAACATACGCGACCTGATTCTCAGACATATCAACAAAAGAACTTTTTAAATGTTGCACAAGATTACGATACTATGTCTGATATGTCTGGTAAAATACAAATACGTGATTTTGATGTAGCTTCCGCTACAAGTACCGCTAGTGAAAATGATTACGCAGAACAAAAGCCAAATAATCGGCTTTCATTGTCTTATTGGCTTTATAATACAGAGCAAAATCGCTCTTCGTCACCACCATTAACAAATATACCCGAACAGACAAGGCCGGTTGTTCAATCGACTTCTCAAAATCGCTCAAGTGGATTATTTGGTTCTTTGTTATATTTATATCCTTCGGCTGGAAATTCAACAAAATTACAGGATACACCTGAATTCTATATCGAAAAATTAACACAAAAGTGAGTTAAAATTTTCATTTGGGGAGTTTTAAATATTTTCAATGAATTTGGTTTGAACATTGGAATTTTTCAATTTTAAAGGAATGTTGCACCTAAGTTGTTAGCAGATACTTTATTATCTTTACGAATAACCTTGTCTTCGGCAAAGTTATCTTGGTTAAGAGAGTTTTTAGAAAATAAGGGATTATTGGTGCTGGATTCTATCCTTGAGAGACATACTATTCGGGATAAGAAGAGGTTAGCAAAAATTTATAAGTTCGTTATTCTATTCCGGTTATAGCTTCTAATTAAATTCTTTAAATTAGTACAGCTAGAAATTCTGACCAAGACGATCGAATACAGTCACAATGTATTCGATGTTTAAGAACATTGATGAATACTGAGGCAAGCTTACATCATTCTCTTATATCGTAAATATCTTATTCCTCATATATAAATTGATCATATTTACTATTTAGATTGGTTTTCGACAAGTTTTGAAATATTCGTCACTGGTTGCTAGCATTGTTTTTTGTCTTCACACTACTAATAACAAATTACGTTCTCAAGTGGCTGATGTATTGGCAGCGTTATGTGTGCTCTCCTTGGATGGACATAAATTAGTTGTTGGATCTTTCACGGAATTTCGTGTAATTCATGAGGAAAAATTCCGGTTTCAATATTTAGTTGAAAGCTTGAGAAGAAATGAAGAAGAAGATAGTACTTCTATTGAATATAAAGCTGCTGGACTAAGTTTAATTAACGCGATCGTGAATTCTCCTGATATTATCGAGGAGCGCATTCTTTTAAGAGAGGAATTTGAAAGGAGAGGAATTGATGATGTTTTTAAGGTAAATTTATTCTCCAAGTATTCAAATAGGAATGCGTCGATTTTTTAAATAATATTCTTAGGTTACTTATTATATAAATATATGCTAGGTTATCAAAGATTCTGACCCTCCTGAATCTGTATTAAAGCAAATTGAGGTTTATCAAGAGGAGCGTCAAGAAGATTTAGATGAACTTTATGAGAAAGCCCATGAAATTGTAAGAGATAATAAGTAAGTTATGTTCGAGAGGAATATATAAATTATTTCTTTAAACTGTAGATAAATTTTTAAAATTATATTTTATAGGAACCCACTTTCAATAGTTGCTGGATTACTTCAACAATTGGAAAGTGACAGAAATTTACATCGTCGTGTTATTGAGACACTTAAAAATTTATTAAGGATTTCATGTAAAAGCACTGGAGAGTTCGTATAGATTTCATACATGTAAATTTCTCGTTACTATATAAATCGTTAAAATTTTATAATTTATAGGAGGTATCAAAACGAGATATGGACTTTGCTTGAGCAATTTATAGAGCAAATCCTTTCTTTAAATAATCTAGGGCAAGGTAATTTAATTATGATTTATTTTTGTTCAATTTATTATTTTTTTTTTTTATTTCAAAATATTAATTAGAATTATGAAAATTTTTAGAATGGCCAAAGTTTATGAATGAATATCACTCATCCATACAGCATATTGTCGGAAAATATTCTTTAGTTAGTGGTAATGTGGCTGACGAAGAAATTGATTCTTTAAGGACTCGTGTGGAAGAATTAGTTATCAAGGTAAAAAGATTTTATCCGTATAAATGTGAAATTTTTTTTTTTTTTAATTAAAATTTTTATTAACATTTATATAAAATCAAGAACGAAAGAACAATAACTGCTGAAGAAATGGTCGCTATGCCTACTGGTCTTAAACAACAAATACCAAATCAAAATTTATCATATAACATATTAGATAAACAGCTATCTCAATCAGTTCCTGGTTCTCCTACTTCCCAAATGTCAAATGTTTCTTCTAATCCATCATCAGTTTCAACTACACCATTATATTTCCCAAAAATTATGAATATGTTTAGACAATCTTCTATTCCAACTCCAATATTAAACCAACAGTATCCTACTTCTAATTCTTCGCATTATCAACAACATAAAGTAAATCGTAAACCACCACCACCACCTCCTCCAAAAATTCCTTCATCACATCAAGGATTATCCAATAATACATCACGTCCCCGGCCACGACCGCCACCACCACCACCTCCTTCATCATCCGCAAAACGAAGCTCCTCATTATCAGTTGTATCGCAATCTAAAAATAAGAAACCACCAGTTCCCGTTGTAAAAAATAATGAACCGAATTTTACTACTGAATTTCCACCCTCACAACAATCTACGACTAATAATAATGCTGATTTCACATCACATTTATCAAGTTCAATTATTGACAATATTGAACCATCGTCACAATCTATTTATGCTACATTTAATAATGTAATAGCCTCTAATTCGCCATCGAGTTCATCACAAATTAAGGATAATGAAATAACAACAGAAACACTTTCGCAATTTCCACCAAATTCACTACAGATTAAACATAACGGAATAACATCTGAAGTTCTTTCTCAATCACCACCAACTTCGACTCTTTTGAATAATATTGTTATACCATCCATACCTTTAATACCTAATCCGCAATTAATAAACAAATTTGATATACCATCTATCCCATCATCACCACCTCCGTCAGTAGCTGGCAGTCCACCACCACCACCTCCGTCAGTAGTTGGCAGTTCACCACCACCACCACCACCACCGCCACCTCCCCCGGGAACAGTTGGTCCTCCACCTCCACCACCACCGCCACCACCGCCACCACCTCCTTCTGGAGCAGTTGGGATTCCACCACCTCCACCACCACCACCACCACCTCCTTCTCATCCGTCTGTTAATGTAAGAAGTGAGGTTTCTTTACAACCTATATTGAAAGAAGATTGTAGTTCAATAAATCATACCTCCGCTGTGTATGATAATTCTCCTATCAAAGCTCCTCTTAATAATCCAAAAGGACCTTTAAAACAACTATTTTGGAGTAAAATTTCAAATCATGAAGTTAATAATACCGTTTGGAAGGATATTCAGGATGAAGATATCCCAATGAATACTAATGAGTTGGATGAGTTATTTAGTAAGACAGTTGCTGTTACATCTGAAAATGGCATAAAGGTTTCAGTTAAAGCTACAGTTACAACATTACTGGATTTTAATCGTGCTAATAATATTGCTATTATGTTAGCTCGAATTAAAATGCCGTATTCAGAGATTAAAGATGCTATATTAGAATTGGATGATGAAAAATTATCGATAGAAAATCTTAGATCAATTAAACAATATGTACCTAGTAGCGAAGAGATTGAATTATTAAAGGAATATGATGGCGATTTATCAGCTTTGGGTAATGCAGAAAATTATTTTAGGGAAATAATGATCATTCCACGTATGTCAGAGAGATTGAATTGCATGATTTTTCGACGAAGGTTTGAAATTGAAGTGCAAGAATTATTACCTGTATGTATGATAACTATAAAATGATTTGAATCTTTTTTTATTTTGTATAAAACAACTAACACTATTTTTAGGAAATAACCATGTTACACGAGGCATATGAAGACCTTAAAAATTCACCAAAATTTAAGAGGTTACTAAAGGTAATTTTAATTTCCATCTAAATTCAATGATTCTGAACGGAGCTTATATTAACTTTATTTGTTACGCGCATAACAGACTGTATTAGCTATTGGTAATTATTTGAATGCTAAGTCATTTAGAGGAAATGCTTCAGGATTTCAATTAGATGCACTACTCAAGGTAACATTATTCATTTTAAATCTATTATATAACGACCAATTTTAAAGTTTATTTTAATTTTTTTTAGATGAGAGATACAAAGGCCACAGAAAATAACTCAAAAGGAACTGCTACTCTTTTGCATTATTTAGCATTCACCATTGAAGCGAATCAGAAAGAACTTATTACATTCATGGATGAATTACCACATGTGGAAGCAGCAGCAAGAGTATCTGTTGTAACTGTAATGTCATCAGTAACTTCTTTAGTCACTGGAGTTTCACAGATTAAAGAAGAAATGCGCGTTCTTAAACGAATAAGACTTATTCCAGTAAATGATAGATTTTTAGAAGTGATGGATGTAAGTTCCATATGAACAATTTAGAATTTAATTCATATATATGATTTTTCAATACTTAACTAATTTTTTTATATTTATTAATTAAAGGATTTTGTTATACAAGTGGAGTCCACAATTAAAAGGATCCAGGAAACAGCCACAAATTTGGATAATGAGTTAAAGCAAATGTTAATTTATTATGGAGAGGATCCAAAATCAATAAAACCCGAAGACTTTTTTGGATTAATTGTTTCATTCTCATCGTCTTTAATGGTATGTTTATTCAAGTATTAATCCTAGTTGATTATAAAGAAATTTGTTCATGTTATTAAAATTATTCGCATAAAATAGAAAGCACGTAAAGAGAATGAAGATGCTCGAAAGAAAGTAGAGAAAGACAAGGATAATGCGTTAAAACAGGTTAAAATTATAAATATATTTATTTATTTATATTTGGTCATAATTCTTGATATTAATGTTATATTCTACCTGTAGACGAATAAAAAACCATCAGATGCGATTAGCATTGCTTCATCAAATGACGCGCAAGGCGATTTCGATGATGCAATTCGTGAACTTCGATCAGGTCTTAAACGTAATCGTGGTAGGCCTGTATCAAAAGTATTTTTGGAAATCACTGAAGAACAAAATTTCTAATTGAAAAACATTATCTTATTTATATATCATAACTTTTTTTTTATTATTCCATCTCCAATTTATTTATCTTAATGATTGAACTCTATTTATTCAGTATTAAATGAACATATTACTTTTCTTCCATCATAATACACTAAAAAAATAAATTTTTTTTTTTAGTTAATGTCTTTTTATATAAAAGTATTGTTAATATATAGGAAATTCTTGATCAACATCTAAGGACCATTTATATAATCCTCCGATAATATCTTTAATGTCGCCTTTCAATTCATTTTTTAATATTTTCACTGCATGTTGTGAATCATTTCCTAATCGGCAAATTACATATACTATTTTATATATAGAATAAGTATCAAAAAAAAAAAAAATCAAATAAATCGAATAAAATTTAATTTTAATGTTAGGATAAATTTAATAATTTACCTGGTGTGTTGGGTTTTTCTAGCGAGTTTTTTACTTCTTCAATCTTTTTGGGGAGATCGTTCAAAGGAATATCTGTTTGATTAAAGTAATATTTCTTTAAAAAAAAAAAAAAAATTCAAAATCAAAATACGCGTTATGTCATTACTTACTAATTGAATTAGGTAAACAGCAAATATTATATTGTATCGTTTCCCTCACATCAATTAAAACATGAGATATACCTTTATTCCGCAAATCGTGATATATCTAATACAACATTGTAAAATTAAAGAATATTTTTTTAAAAAAAAAAAAAATTATTTTATACCTTGGGTTCAATCCTATTGTCATTCCCCAATATCTCGACCGTAGGTGACTAAATTGAATTAAAAAATTTTCTTTTTTATAAATATATTTATATTTATATACATATATTTTTTAACACGTTTAATAAAAAATAATCACTTTATCTAATGCGCCACTACCACAAAACTGAACATAATCAATCAATTCAGTTATAGAAGGGTGTTCGCCACATACAGCACAATCCTTCTTTTTCGGTCTCAATTTCATGGATCGAAACAGCGGATATGATGTAGCCGAAAAAATCAAAAGATTATGAGGACTTTCGTCATCTAATTGTTCAAATAATTAGATTTATTTAATAAATTATACCGGCCCAAGTAATGCATTCCTTAATATTTATCACTCGCCATTCATATCTATAGCAATTTTGATTGCTTGCAAAGCTTGCAAACATCCAATAATTCCGGTCACTAAAAAAAGGAAAATGAAGATTTTATTATTATTATTATTATTTGCTTACGTTGTAAGACAGTTCAAAGTATATAAGCACAGACCGACTCCTAAAACTCCACCATCAGCACAATTTAATACGCTTTCTGGTGGAGGTGGTTTAGGGAATAGGCATCGATAACAAGGTCCTCCTTTGTAATTATATATAGTTAATTGACCATCCATACGTAAGGCACTGCCAGAGACCAAAGGAATTCCGGTCATCACACACGCGTCATTAAGTAGATAACGCGTAGCAACATTATCAGTCGCGTCAATAACTATATCGTATTTTTCAATTATTTCCAGTGCATTGGAACTATCCAAAAGGATTTCGTACGCAACGCATTGACATAAAGAGTTTAACCCTTCGATAGTCATCTTTGCCGATTGTGCTTTAGAAATACCCTCCCGTGATTCATTATGTATTACCTGACGTTGCAAATTTGATTTCTCCACAGTATCATAGTCAATTATTCCAAGTTTGCCTTTCATTAAAAAAGAAAATTAATTCTTCGACTTCTTCATAGATCAGAAATCATTTAATAACATAATAACAATAAAAATTTCTTACCGACACCTGCAGCGGCAAGATAAATGGCTGCAGGTGCACCTAAACCTCCAGCACCTACTAACAATATTGAAGTATTTTTAAGTTTCAATTGACCTATTTAAATTATTTGTGATATGTTAGAAATGATAACGCTTGGAAATTATTTATTCTTTAAAAAAAAAAAAAAAGTACCTGATTTTCCAAAACCTGGTAGAATGAGTTGTCGACCGTATCGAGTATATTCGGCCAAGCTTAGGTCATTTTTTGCTAAATTAGCTTTTGCTGGAACTTTATCAGAAATTATTGGCTCACTAATTTTCGAATTCTGTTCGAGTTTCTCTTCTAGTTCTTTGACACGTATTTTAAGAAGTTCATTCTCTTCTTTAAGTCGTGAAATTAAATCAGTTAATAAATGGAATTCGCTTTTATCCGCAATAATCTTCGTGGACATGACTGTTACTACAATTGAGGTGTGTTTTTAACATTTACGTGATTTCTCCACTAAAAAATGGCATGATGATCATTACCTTTTATAGTAAAGAAAATGAATCATAAACATTTCATAAATTTTTTAGTGTAATTTCAATAGCAAATTCAATATTTTTAGCATGATTTTTATAATTCTGTAATATAATATTTGTATTTTTTTTTATCAGTTTTAGTATTTTGCAATAACTATTTTTATTAAGATTATTTGCCATTAAAAAAAAATATTAGTAATAAACAATTTTATAATACCTTTTATAAATTAAATAACTTTCTAAAAAATTACATAATGAAGTTAATTCAGAAAAATACTTAGCAAAAATATTCATTTAATTTGTTACTATCTTTACTAATATATATTTTCACTTTTAATTTTTCTCAAATTTATAAGATATTAATTGACTTTCTGAATATTGTTAACATGTAATTCTTGTGAACTACAACTGTTAGACAGGGTATTCGAGCGGTTTATTCTTTTTAATTGAAGCAGTAATCTTTCAACGGTTTACAAGTTTTATTTCAGATTAATTATCAAAAGTGTTTATACTATTACGATAAGTAGAGATTCAACGGATCGCCAGTAAATTATATTTGTAAAATAATGTATTTATTCACGAGTAAAATAATAGAAATAAAGAAAACAAAAGAAATAAAGAAAATAGAAAAGAAACAAAAAGAAATGAAATACTAAAAACTAAAATATAATGTGATAGACCAGTTGCCTCTAAAACTACTGAAAAACTAACTTGTCGAGTCTCTGTCTATCTACTTTTTACATAAACTAAAAAGTTATCTATTTATATAAAATAATTTACATAAAGGAATATAACTCATGTTTACTATATAACTATATCTAATATATCAGTTATATCGAATATGTCAACTATGTTTAATATGTCAGTTATGTCACATATGTTTGACATATCATATATATCATTTATGTCAAATTAGTTAATCTTTTGCGTCACATAAGCTGTGTCACATTTACCTGTTCATAATATTTAATGAAAACCTTTAAATAAATATAATAAAATTTTAATAATTAGTCTATATTTTATTTTTAAAAGTTAAATTTCAAGTTAATATGGGAGGTTTGCTAAGAAAATGGGACTCTAAGAATTTTTTAACAAATTTTATTTTTTATTATATTTTAGTTTTTGATATTATTAAATTAAAATATAATAAGATCTTATTGTTCAAGTTAAGTTATTTCTCATCATTTTCTTAAATAATTATTTCTTTTATTATTTAAGTTAAATGATTATTCATCATTCTTCTTGAATGATTATTTTATTTATTATTTAAATTAAACAATTTCTTATTATTCTTTTTAAGCAATTGTTTTATTATTTAAATTAAATAATTTCTCATTATACTTCTTAAATAATGCTTATTTTTCTTTTTGAACAATCATTTTTTATTATTCAAGTTAAACAATTACTTATTATTCTTCTTGAATGATTTTTTAATATTAAAGTTAAATGATTTTTTATAATTCTTTTAAATAATTATTTCTTTTATCATTTAAATTAATTAATTACTTATCATTCTTCTTGAACAATTTATTTATTATTCAAGTTTAATGATTTCTTATAATTTTTCTTGAATATTATTATTTTATTATTTAAATTAAACAATTTCTTATTATTCTTCTTGAATAATTATTTCTTTTATCATTTAAGTTAAATGATTTCTTATTAATCTTTTTAAATAATTATTTTTTTATCATTTAAGTTAAATGATTTCTTATTAATCTTTTTAAATAATTATTTTTTTATTATTCAAGTTAAATAATTTTTCATCAATCTAATTGAATGATACATTTTATAGTCTATAATATTTATAATAAATCAAATTTTATATATTATTAAGACTATAATTAAAGATCACAAATTTTAATTTCTATAAAATTGTGATTTTAGGACTGCAATTTCAGAATTTAATCTTAGAATTCAGTCCTAAACTCTAATTCTAGACCTAAGTCCTATAGATTAAATTTTCTTTAAAACTAGAAGTTTTAGAACTAAATTTGGATTAAATTGGATTTTAATATTTCTATTAAATATTTTTAAATAAAAATTAGTTATTAGAAATTTAAATAAAATTTTATATAATTTAAAAGGTTACTATATATATTAGGTAAAATTATAAAATGAAAAGGATTGATAAAATTACTAGTAAATTTGAAATTTTCTTTAGAGATCTCTATTAGAAATAAGTGAATTCTATTAATTTTTTGATAATACTGAAAGGATTGAAGTAATTAAAAAGAGATTTTTTCCTAAAAGTTTTCATAAGATACTTCTTCTATTATAAAAAATTTAATAAAGATCAGATTTAACAAAAGATAGTTACCTAAAAAGTTAATTAAATTGAAGAAGTAAATAAAGTGTAAAATATAAAATTATGATTACAAATTTATTAGATTTATGTAATAAGTATTTTAATTTATAAAATAATAAAGAATTAAAGTAAGTTTTAAAAATTATAATATTTATTAAATATTATAAATTAACAAAATAATATTTTTTTTAAGAAATATATAATATAATCATAGTTAAATATATGTTAAAACTTTATTTTAATATCAATTTAATCAATTTTTTAAAAAATAAAATCTTAGAGCTCTAGAATAATCTAATTATAAATAAAGATGATGCTATAATATAGGTCTTTTTAACTTAAATGAGAATAAATAGTATTTTTAGTTATAAAAAAATATTTACAGAATTAGCATCTCTAATATTACAAATTAAAAAATGTAAGTATCAATTTAAATAGTTTATAATATTCTAAACATTTTACAAATTTTTTAACTTATTATCTGAGAATAGTTATAAATATAAAATGTTTTATAAGTTATTAGAAAAAATATTTATTTAAAAAATTTTATATATATGTTTATTATTCTAATCTTTCTACAATTTTAATTATTAATTATATTATATTAATTTTTTTAAATCAAATAAATATTAAATATAGAATTAATTGCAAATTTTAATTTAGTTTTAGAAAAGTAATAAAATTTACATATATAGCAAAAGAATTAAAATGAAAAGTGCCAATTTTATTAATAATTGATTATATAAAAATCATCAAAAACTAGTATATTTTCAAGATCTTGAATATATTACAGAATCTATTTTATTTTTAAATGAAGTCTTAATGTTTAATATGATCTAGTGCAAAAAGATTTGTATCTTAAAAAATTGTTTATAGAAAAATTTTTTATTAATATAAACTTTTTTTTTTATTTATTTAAATTATATCAGTATATATTTGAAAATATAAATATATAAATATTAAATTAAGTTATATGTTACTATTAAATTTTTATTAATTAATTATATATTCTTATTATTAGATTAAATTTAAAAGTAATTCTTTGTTTATGTCAGTTTGAATTAATAAAAAATATTAAACTAATTTTGAATTTGAATTTTTCTTAATGAGATAATTCTAATAAATTTAAAATCATAAAATTCTGATTATTAGCTACAGAGAAATTAATTGTTAAAGATCAATATCATAAAAATATTTTTGTATAAAAGTGAAAATAATATAATTATGTTATTTTCACTTAGTCTAAGTTATTCTCACTTAGATGATAACGGTAGCTAATTTTTATTGTCAGGCCACATGCGATATACTATATCAAATTAATGACAGTAACGAGTTTTATCATCAGACTACATGATAACAGTGATGAGTTTCTGTTATTAGAGATATAATGTGATCACGTATATGTCAGAGTGACAATAAATTACAAATTATCATCAGATCTGCATAATAAATAGATGCATAATTTAATTGATCTTTAAATCAAAACACTTCTCTAACTCTAATATCACATCTTTTATTTCTTTATTACGTTAAACAACTTGGGTATAGAATAAAATATTTATCCTACTAGATTTACTTCTTTTATCAAAGATTTTTTTAACTAATCTGTTTATATATTTATCTAGTATCTAATTATGAATAACAATAGAATAAAAAATAATATAATTTTTTATTATATTCGTTTGTAGAATTTAAAGAACTATTATTAATCTTCTGAGAAATGAGGGTCTGCCGTCCAGTACATGAGTATATAGTATCAATTGTCAACCTTCTGAGAAATAAAGATCTGTCTGATACAATAAACGTGTAATTCTCTTTAGTCTTTCTAAAGTGAATGCTTTTCATTTGCATGATGTTGTCAATCTTATAAAAAATAAGGATCTACCATCTGATACATAAGCGTATAGTGCCTCTCATCTATATAACGTATATTAATCCACATTGTATTTTAATATTTATTTACTATTATAAATTTACCACTTTATAAAAAGTGAATATATTGCAAAAAGCCAGAATTATCAGTTTTTGTAGCAGGAATAATTGAAGGTTTACAACACAAAGAACTGGAATTGTGGTTGCAGAAAGCTACTTTACTACGCTTCAAATATATCTTAAAGAAACAAGTGAATGGATAGAGACATGTACATTTTAGTACACACTATAATGCATCAAGATTTTTCAATGAAATAAAAGATAAAATCTTTATAGTGATCATATAATCAGATTTTTCAGTGTAATGTATTTAAGTCTAAAAAAATGATTAATTATATTATCGTAAGTTTTCTTTTGGATAAACTGATTATATTATATATACTTTGATGTTCCATTTAACTCTATTTTTTAAAGATCAAAGACACATCTTCTATTTTCTCTATCTATAGTCTTTCCTTCTGATACATCATCTGCTAGTCTTTTTTTACAAACTTATTAAGATAAATCAAAGCCTGTAAAACAATCTTTGCTAAACAAGTCCTAATATACATTATATAATAATAATAAAGGGTTTATATTAGTTAATATCTTGTATCATTTGATATTGCGTATAACTAAATCTCTTTGCAATATATTTTATATACCGTATAGTCTCAAAAATAAGCATCCTTTTTTTGCTATAGGGGTGCT